CCTCCGCTCACCCCCTCCCCCTCAAACAGAAGCTCCAGGTCTTATAATTCCCCCAAATCCAGGTTCAGCTCCTCAGACCTGCAGCTGCACTTCCCTCTCCCGGCCACCAGGGGGCAGCAGAGCTCCACACATCAGAGCTTCCACCGCCTCCTGGAGGGTTTTAAGGCACACATAGGGTCTTTATGGGGATATAAAGTGTAGTTCTAGAGAAGGAAATGGACCAGAAAGGCCTTTTTGCTCCGGTTTGAAGGTTTTTAAGGATTTTGGGGTTTTTTGGGGCATTTTGAGGCGCCAGATGTGAGTCTAGAATGTGTTTTTGGTCCCCTCTAAAACGACACACACAGGCTTTTTTTGGGGATATAAAGTGTAATTCTAGAGAAGGAAATTGACCAGAAAGGCTTTTCAGCTCCAGTTTGAAGGTTTTTAAGGGTTTTTGGGGCTTTTTGGGGCATATTTGGGCTCCGGATGTGAGTCCAGAATGTGTTTTCTGTCCCCTTTCTGAGCCCGTTTCCTCTAAAATGACACACACAGGCTCTTTTTGAGGATATAAAGTGTAGTTCTAAAGAAAGAAACAGACAAGAAAGGCTCTTTTGCTCCGGTTTTAAGTGTTTTTGGTGCATTTTGGGGCGCCAGATGGGAGTCCAGAATGTGTTTTTGGTCCCCTTTCTGAGCCCGTTTCCTCTAAAACGACACACACAGGCTCTTTTTGGGGATATAAAGTGTAATTCTAGAAAAGGAAATGGACCAGAAAGGCTTTTCTGCTCCGGTCTGAAGAGTTTCAAGGATTTTGGGGCACCGGATGTCAGTCCAGAGTGTGTTTTTTGTCCCCTTTCTGAACCCGTTTCCTGTAAAACGTCTGGTTTTAAAGCCCTCAGCTACTCTAACGGAGGAAGGAGGAGAAGGAGCTCCAAACTCATCCTTTAAAACGTGCTTTTTCCTTTTTTCTGAATCAATCTTTCCTCAAAAGTTCTCTGACAGTAAAAGTTTAGATCCGCTTTTAGTGTTTTTCCCCCTCAGAGGATAAAGAAACGGTAATATAG